ACACTTACTATGTGGATTGTATACAACGTATACATACAGTCAACACAGAAAGGTTAAAGCTAGGAAAACGAAAAGCGCTGAAAGAAAAATACTCCGTACATGCTTTGTAAACAACCCGTACAGAATGTACGGTAACAATGTTTCATTTAAAATGTGACGATATTCAGTCGTTTCTGAGCAACTTCGAGGCAGCTGAAGTACTTAATGGAGTCTTCTAATGAGAAGACGCACTGATTGCATAGCGTCACGAAACTCACCGGCATCAGGAGTAGCCAATTAATTTTCGGGGCTAGCCTGACAGTGCTCGGGGCCCGGCTTGCGAAATATTTCGGCTAACAGTTCCCGAACGAAAACACAACTCGTGTTGCACAATCACTTTCACATATGTCACACATCGGAAAGGAGAATATAGTGAACAGGTACCGAACTAATAGTACAGGCGGTCTATTTGGTAGCTCAAGTTGTATTGAGCACGCAGGGGCGCCGCATGCGACGCAGCGGCGGCTGTGGGGGGCGTGCACGTTGAGCGTTTACCCGGACTGTCCGGTTTGAAGCATTCATACACACGAAATTTTTTATTAATCATCAATTTAAAATATAGTTTTTTATAGTACAGATACACACATATAGCGTAAATATTTAGAAATCGGGTGCTATATAAACGTTTTCGTTGCATCCTCGTCGTTCAAATCATTCAGTTACCTCTTATTTCCGCCTAAAGAAGTTTTACTTCAAAACGTACGTATGTTGTGGAATTGGATATCTCCCAATTACCAAACGCCTCTCTGTTTTATTTATCTTTACAGGGTCTTAGGAAGTGAATGCAGTTAAAATTTAAATCAATATAATTTAAGCCTTTATTCTTAAACCAATATAATGTCGGTACTCTCCGGTTTTTCTAATATGTGTATATGTAGCTCTTTTAGTTTAAATTTCACATAATTTCATCTATTTAATTAAATCTAGAGCTGTGACAGCTTTGTATCCGGAATTATAAATGATGTTTTTGGACCATTGCTAAGTATGTTTTTATTTATAAGTTGTATTACGTCAATTGTAACCAGTTTTGCAGTCGGATACGTGAACCAGTTACTGATGTAAACAAAATTTGTAACAAATTTTACAATAAAGATCGAAATATTTAATTAAAAACACTTAAATGACGAGGCATCGCAATATAGCAATGAGGGGTGTACATTGAGGGAGCTTTTATACCTGTGAGAGACTTGACAGATCCTGCACCTATGGAATTCTCAAATGCAATTTTAAGTGCACAAGTGTACTTATCACGTGCACAACGATGAAGGAAAACATCGTAAGAAAACCTATATAATTATCAAATAGTTTGAAGGAATGAATATGGTCAGCCTAGCGCCGCGTCTAACATCAAACCGGTCGCAAGCGATTAGACCGGACTATTTCAACTGGCTCCATTCTTCCGGCTATCTACAATTTTTTTTAAAGCAAACAACTCTCCTACTAAACAGAGACATAGAGCCGCTTTGTTTTTCACTCCCCACAAACCCACTAAAGAGCACGCATTCCGCGAATCCGATACGTCAGAGCTATGCGAACAGTTATTTGCATATTATTTGTATGACTGTATAAAAGACTTAACAGCGAAGCCACTGGATACACCCGTTTGGGGCAGTTCTCATCTCCAAAATTAGAAGACTACCACCTCACCACATAACCAGTGCGAGCATCACGTAACTATAGAACTGGTGCAAAACACTTTTGCGCGGGTTCGATACTAGATGAAGTTGTTTTTATAGTCTCCGCAGTAAAAGCGTAACTTACGTTAAAAAAGATAGTGTATGATAAAACAGATTTTGCCGCCGCAAGATAGGACCTGGGGAGATCGGAGTAGAAAAATACATTTAAATACTTAGTAACTCACGCCTATTTTTCTTAATAGTCAGGCCATCTGAGTTTGCCAAATTGTTCTACAAAAGACTATACAGAAAAGCTTTATTGCTTAGTTGATAACCCTTGTTGTTCCCTTGTCTTTTTAACTAAGATAGTGAGAAGCTAGAGAGATAACTCCATACAAACGTGAAAGTGCTACCATACTATCGTAGAAGAAGAAACGTAAACTGCTGAATGCTGTTATTAACATCATACGGTCTTAATTACTCTTCGATACGATACGATAAGAATCTATCACTTAAGAGCGTAATAAAACATAAGCCCTCCACAAACTCTGAAACAAAAAGAAGAAAGTAGGTACCACACCTACATTTAAATAATTTTGACGAAACTTCAAACAGTGGCTTTTTTTTAATGCTAAAATTTGTCAAGCGAGCTGACGGTTCACCTGATGTTAAGTGAATACCGCCGCCCATGGACATCTGCTACCCCCGAGGGCTGCAGATGCGTTGACAACCTTTGAATTCTGGCGTACATCAATTGTTATCTGGGATCGACCGTAATTAGAAAACTTCACAAGAAAGATTATCGTTTGAATATGAAAGGAGAGGAAGTACTTTAGATCCACAAAAAATAGATATTGGTTTCTCACTTTCTAATTAAATGCATTACTGTAATACAAAAACAATTATATGTTTACCGATGGAGGGGCCATGCAAGTCTGTTCTGTTGCACGAATGAGCGAGCCCGGCCGGGTAAGCACCACGGCCTCACAGAAGGCCAGCGTAAAGTAGAAGTGTCATGCTTCCTCGTTTCGCGTATAAGTAGCGGGCCCACTTTATTAAAAGGTACGCGTTAGCAACCCTACGGATGTTGCAAATGTCCAAGGGCGGCGGTTATGACTTAACGTCGGGTGAACCACCAGCTCGTTTGACAACTTCTTGCATAAAAAAAATTCCTAATTACGTTTTGGCATCCATTGATGAAATGAAATTTGATGTAATCTAAACTGGAAATTATATTATGTGGTAATTTTAGCATTGAAACTTTGAAAACCAATATTTTTTGTTGTTAGAATTAGCAATTTATTTTACTAAACTACAATTCACATTGAGAAATACAATTACCAATATACGGTTAAAAAGTAATACATGTCTGGAATATTTTGCTCATAATATCACGTATGGATGTAAAGGTGAAGTATATAGACTTGGGCTTATCGGATCACACTGTGCAGCTTCTTAATAAGTATCTAGTAAAAAAATCGAATCAAGATCCGTTGGGTAGTTTTAAAGTTACAAATATGCACAGACAGACAGCGGGACGACTTTGTAGTGATTATGTTAAAAAAAATAACTTCTCGAAATATGGAAAGTAAAACGGTATTGTAATGAAATGAATTAATGAATGAATGAATGAATATGCAAAGAAAATAAAAAGAAGTTTATTGAAAACCTTTAATTTTTTTTTGTTTGTATGACTTTAAATTATTTTATGATTTGTGTTTTCATTTCAAAACGATACCTTTATACAATAGAAAAAAAAAACCGAAATGACTAACCAAAATCATCAAACTAGGCTACAAAAGACAAAGGAGAATATACACACTATCCGAGTTAAATTTTTACAAAAATAATGTTGTAATAAGATGGAATTTCTACACGCGTCATAAAATAAGTTAACCTCAGTATTGTTTCGCGTTTAAGCTAAAATTTTCATTTAGCATTTATCTAATATAGATGATCTCGAAACAACTATCATTAATCCACTCTATAAAAATAAAGGTGAAAAGGATGTTCTTAACACATGCTATATTATTTAAAATTAACTGGTTATATCTAAAATTAAACAAAAGTTATATTAAATAAAAACATTGTATAAAAATCCTACTATTTAAAAAAAAATTATGAAGAGCAGAAGAGATTCAGAAGAAGTGAGACAAAAAAACTGCAATTTACGATAACTAGTGAATTAAAATGCTTATTTATGTATTTGACTGAAGCTTTGGACTATCTACATCATGAATTATTTATTAAATAAGCTTGAGAATTACGGAATAAGAGGTAACATTATTAACTTAATAAAAACGTACCTGACTAACAGACGGCAAGTAACAAATAGCCAGAACTAAAAAAACCAACGACAGAAACAATCTGCACATCAAATATTACATGTATTAACTATGTTCCACAGGGAACTGTCTTAGGTCCACTGCTCTTTCGGTATAAATAAATGATTTGCCTAAAAGAATTTCACACAAGATTTAGGAAAAAACCTATCGATAGAGATAATGTATGTTTCTTTCGACGATAAACAAATGATTTTGATTTTTATTGTTTTGTTTGTTGTAACGGTAAAATAGTACGGCTATAACTAACTATGGTAAACATATATGAAATTGAATTCAACTTAACTCAACAATAATAGAAAGCTGCATAAAAATAATTTAAAGGTATATCTGAACAAAACGATATTCATTAAAATTTGTAGAAAAAAGTTCGAAAGGTTTCTCGTCGCTGTGGGAATCGAACCTACGTCTTAGGGATACGCGCCCTGACGCTTTAGCCACTAAGCTCAACGGCTGATTGCCATATTGACGAAATTCTCAACGTCCAAAATACTCATAATCATACCTAATATATTTAAAATACTCATTTTCTCAACTTATTAATAGTTATTTTATATTTAAAATACTCATTAGCACTGAATACATTTACTTACCTACGCAACGCTGTCTTCATTACCATACCGTCTTAATGATCTATTATGGATAATAGTCTTTCACGTTTGTACAAAGATACGAGTTGACCTGATCGCGATTGGTAGACTTTTCGATTACCGTAGCAAATAATGATGACTTGATTGGTGCGGTCGCTAAGGTTATATCGCTATTGGTTTCGGCACCGCGGATCTTAAGTTCAAGGGTCAATCAAACTTAACGCGAATATGTTAATTCGTAGAATTGCATCACTTGAAAACTGATCAAAATATAATTGAATAAACTTATAAATTCAATCAATACTGAGTCTAAAAGAGCATTTATGCCCATGCCCTTTTAGACTTTGTGTAACGGGTCGTGGTGTGTTGCCATACACCACGACCGGTGTGTACCGTACCTAATAGTAAATTACCTTGGCGGGAGCAAGACGCGGCATGGCAAGGCGGCGGCTGGGCCGCGCCACTGCCACTCCGATCAGGGCGTCGCAGAGGGCGCGCAGACCGGCACCACTGCCACAGTTAGCGGTTTCAGCGGTGGCAGCCGTGGCAGCGGTGGTAGCGATGGCAGAGCCCTCGCCGTCGGTGGTGCCTGAGGCAGCGCTGCGTAGAGCGGCACGCGCACTACACTGCAACTAGCGGCGCGCGAGCGCCCTCCCGTCGCATCTGCAGCAAAGCATCCATGCAGGGATGGTTGTGGCGCGGAGTGTCCCAGTTATAATCTCAATTGTAGGTACTCGCTAATACTTTTTAGGCAAACAGATTTCTTTGCGATATATTCCTTAGCAAAGTAAAGAGTCAGCATATATATGTACCTACTGCTAGGCAAAGGCCTCTGTACGGCCGGTATTAGGGCATAGTCCACCACGCAACACCACTGTGAATTGGCGGACTTCACATATTTCGAAATATATTTTTGTCATTATTTCGAAAATACAACCTGCGTATTACCTTACGATGTTTTACTTCACCGATGAGCAAAAAAGTTAATATTTCACAATCTCATTGGTGCCGCCACCGGGGATCGAACTCAGATTGCTCGAGTATATTGAATTAAAAGCGAGCGCCCGGACACTGAGCTATGACGTCTAATTTCCTAACTCCAGATAACCAGTTAAGTGGGCGGGCACATAAATTGGTAATTACAATTTTAAAAATATTGCAACGGTATAATAAGGCGAGTGCTTGGATACAAGGCTATATTATATAACGCAAAATGCAGGTTTAATGTCTGCTGGAGGCACTACGTTTGACATACTTGAAATAAACAACCTTCAAATTATATATAAGTGGGGCAAAATTATAGATCTACACAATCGTAGCCTCGTTGAATAACCTGTGAGTTCCTATTTAGTTTAGATACTGATAAATAATACAAAACCTATATATAAGGTTTTACTAAATAGAAAATTATATACATATGTAAGATCGATAGTGCCAATAATAAAGAACATTAAAAGAGAATAATTTTAAAAATGATATTTACATTTATGGCAAATGACCAGTATTATATCAGATACGTATGTTTTATATTACTGAGTAAAATAAGGCCAAGTTTCAACAGCGAATTGGGCGGGGAGAGGATAGGGCGTTGAAACTAAAACCCAGTCTCTTCAGAAGGTTAAGATTGAGATATTTGTGGATGCCCCATTATGTTAGTAGCAATAAAGTGAATGTTGATAAACGAAGTCAGTAACAGAGCTTGGACTGAAATCGAGCTATGAAATTCAAAATAGAGTTGCTGCGATGCATTTTGTTATACACGAGAGAAATACGGCGGTAAATCTCGTAACACGCTCTGTAAGGAGACACCGCTATCATGGCACCGCAGTGACATTAGAAACCCAATCTTCCTTTAGCGGCTGCTATTAAGCGCAGGATCGATTGCATAGCGTGGAAAATAAACAAGCTGCAGACGGCACCATAGCACGCAAATTTAGACCTTGTAGACAATGACATACGTTAGGAAACAGCTCGATCGAGCCGAATAATCAGATGAAATCTGAGACAAATTGACTATGCGTGCGTGCTACGACTGGTTAAGTTAATAAAGTTTTGATTAAAAGGTACCTGTGGTTATATGCAAAATAAATCTTTTGCATATCAATCAATCACACAATATATGTATTAGAAACAGAAATCAGTTAATTGAGATTTTATACATCCTTATAATTGATAGTTAATACAAGAGGCTGCATAATTAGCCCAGACATTTCTTTTAGAGAATGACCATTTCTTTTTAAATTCCGTTCTGTAGAATGGTACAGTATGCAATGAAATTTTGGAGTTTATTTCCATTAAATCCATACAAAAAATTGTTAAGTGGTGGCAAGTCAGGGTTTACAGAAACCTTTTTTGAACGTATTCCAGTCTTTTCACGTAAACATATATTTAGGATTCCAAACGACGCAACTATACTCTAAGCCACTGCGTACGGGAACATTGTACAACGAGATCTTGATCGTGAGGCTTTTGAAATCTTTGGTGTTTCGTTGAACGAAATCGTTATATATGTGGAGATTACAGAGCATTTTACTATCAAGCAACACTCCCAATAAATTACCGTCAGTGACGTGTTATTTCAAGTAGTTTGATTTGAATTGAAGAAAAGAGTGAAAATCTACCCCGGATAACATCAAGAAGGACTTAGAACAACAAGAAGACAAGAAGGAATACAAGACTTGGTCGTTTAAAGGTATCAGATATATATGCTACTTGGGCCTAGTGCCATGAAACCTATGACGTGCCACTCACCGGAGAGGGCGAAGTGCACCGTGAGCAGCGCCTCCATGAGGCGGAGGAGCAGGCGCGTCTCGGGCGCGGGGCAGCGCTCGCCGCAGAGGCGGTGCAGGAGCAGCTTCAGCAGCGCGTAGCTGTGCACCAGCGTGCGCCCGCCGGCCACGTGGCGGCGGAACAGCGCGCTGCGCAGGCACAGCCCGGCGCACGACCTCCAGAAGGCGCCGATGTTCTTCAGCGCCTCCAGGTAGTCCTCGGCGGGAGGGTCCGCGCGCTCCACCGGCGCCGCGGCCGCCTCGCTCACTTCCAGGATCTCCATCTCCTTCGTCAGGTCGCACAACTCTTCGAACTTGTCCGCCGGCAGCCTCTCCCTGTATATCCGGTAGCACTTATCCGTCATCTCCGATAGCGATTTGAACAGCATCTGGACCGAGGCGAGCGTGCCCATGTCGCGGATGTAGGGCAGCACGGCGTTCTCCTTCATCAGCTTGTATATCTCCACGATGATGGCGATTTCGAGGATCGCGCAGCACTGGTTCGAGAACTCCGGCAGAGAGACCAGCTCGAGCACGTAGCTCAGCCCGCCCTTCTGGATGAACTGCTCGGCGAACGGTACTGTGTTCAAGAGGCTCGCGAAGATGTTGAGGCAAGAGACGGTTAAGAAGTAAGCGGACTCCTCCTGCCTTATGATGTATCGATGCTTAGACACGATGAAAGTGGGGTAGATAACGCTGAATAACAGTTCATGCTTCATCTCCATTCGGCACTTGGGCGTCACTTTGAGGAGATGGCTAACGGTAGCGTGGAGGACGTTGTTGTGGTTGTCTAGCTGTAGCAGAGAGTTGTAGTGAATGAGGAAGGACCATACACTCTTCCTCTCGATGGGGCTGACACCGTGCGGACAATACTTCCTGCCCAGGTCCCGATTATCATCGCAAGGCTCACAGATGGAACACGGCAGTTGATCCGTTACCCGCGGGATAAGTATGCTAGAACCCAGGTCACCGTACACCGTATGCTCGAGGAGTTGCAGACATCGCGGAGCGACGCTGTTGTGAGTCAACATCAGCCTAACCACGCACTCCATTAAGAAACCGGGTGAGAAACAGCAGCAAACACCGCATTTTAACATCACTCGAAGTATTTTGGTCCTCAGGATGGTCTGCGCGGCCACCTCCTCGTCCGCCACTAAAGAGGTCAAGGTTCCGTATAAAACGGAGACACAGCAAGCAGAGGGTAGCGGCAAGCCGGTGCCCGCTTCGCCGAGCACATCGTGATGGTGGTGCATGCCAGCCGCGACTCGCTGCCTGCACGCTTTGTGCCGAGTCCGTGGACAGGCGGCTGTGTGTATCACTTCACTTCGGACCCGTTTCATCCCACTCACTAGCTTGCCTATAGACTCTATCAGCTTTGTTATTAACACAACACTCGTTTCCTTATCCACTACCGGTATTCTGATCATTAGCTCTATGCATTCTTTCAAAAGGCCCCCTTTCAGACACTCTCCGTATAGTTTGAACTGATCCGTGAACTCTCTAAGTTTGTCCACAGTTCGACACTGCATCAAGAGGCAATGGAAGAAGGCCGTAACGGAATACGCTATGCCGAAAACGTATTTGAGCAAATTTTCTGCTTCAGTCTCATTAAGTTTCTCTACATCTTTGGCACGAGTGGAGCTATCTTCTCTTGTAATAAATTTACTGCTAGACTTACAAATGATATCTTCTAAAATCCTAAGTAGCATAGGCATTATTCCATTATTAATTAGCTTGGCGCAGAGATCGGAATGGATCAGCACTTTATCTAAGGACACGATGAGGAGTTCTGTTAGCGCCAGTTTAATTCTGGACACCTCTTCGCTGTCGTAGTTGGACATCGCGGGGAGGGAACCAAATTGTAGGGAGCAGAGGTTTTTTAAAGAGAAATTGATGCACTGCATCGAGATTTGGGACCCCTCGGTGCCACTCAGGCTGCTCTCCGCCTTGCACAGCTCCTGCAGCAGGTCGGTTATAAGCAGTGTGAACTCGAAGCTCGATATCTCTGTATTGATAATCTCCCTATGTTTCTCGTTCATATAATCGTCCGCCTTGGGTTTGAGTTTGCGCGGCGGGTGGAAGGGATCGCCATAGAGGGCATCGTTCGGGTAATCGTTGGACGAGCGGACCGGCGAGTTGAAGTACTCAAAGTCGTCTTCGGGGGGGCAGACCTTGATCGCCATCGACTTGTTGAGGATCTGGAGGTCGTCGTTGGAGTCGGCCGACTCGGTAGACTGCTCCGAGTCGACGGCGGAGCGTCTCTTGGCCTTGCCCTCGGACAGCTCCTTAGCAACGCCATTCTCTTTCAACCTGGCGACGAAGTGTGAGAATCGAGGTCACGAGTTCGCGATCTTAAAGATTTTGTAATTCTTTAGGAAAGATCGCATTTGTCTTACAATAAAAGTCGGGACAAGCAATGTAGCAGGTGGTTCATCTGATGTTAAGTATTTAACTGCACCCATGGACATCTGCAACATCTGAAGGGTTGTAGATACGTTGACAGTTTTTTTTTTTAAAATGGATTCCGATTACCTTACTCACTAAACACAATCGGAATGTATAACCTTCCATTTCACGGTTTTCTGCAACGCTGTGGTACTTTCCCGGGCGAGTCTGCCCATTCGTGCAACAAACGAAGATACTGATTGGCTCTACATTTATGAGACTATAAAATTTCGCTGATACCTTCCAGTTGTGGAGCTCCGTTCAGACGAACCCGCCGAATTAGTTTTCGCCGCTTGGCTTAGCTTTTGTTTGGACCAGATTCTGAAAAGTCAAATAAACTAAGTAATGAAGCCGAATGAGCGCAAAGAACTGTTGGTAGATTATTCAACTTTACAGTATATATGACATATATAAGTGAATGTGAAAGATGATATAGAACGAAAGAGGTAGCAGTATATAGAATTGCAGTCCAATTAATTGGTATAATTTGAGTGCCTAAATTTCGGTGCGCTTTGCGCGATGTCATATCTTTGCATATATTATCATTGCCTTTTAGTTAGGTTCTTTAATGACTTTTCCCTGATCAGACAGCCCATTAAAAATTCAAAGTAAAATAATTATTTTCTGTTTATTACAGTACAATCATTTGCTTATGTTACGCAAACGCAGAAAATTCCATGTAACCTCAAACGTATAAATAATCTGTGACTGTGTGTAAGTGCGTGTACGAGCGTGCGTGTTTCCCGTGTTCGTTTGTCTGCGTATATGTGTGCATCCTAATTAATATGCTATATTGCGCTATTGAGAAATATTTTTTATTGAAATTAGAAACGTTAACAGGTTTTGCGATAAATGGTCGTGGGGTTATTGGAGAGGCGTGAGTGGGTGTGTGAGTTTTTCAGCCAAAAGATGACATTTATAAATCGCTACGTCCGTCTTCATTTTTTTTGCAAAACAATACTACTTGTTTTGGCGGAAGTTAAAAAACTTTCTGTTCAAAAAAGTTTTGTAAATTTATTTCATAGATGTTGGTTACGATAAAATTTTGATTACGATAAAATTTTGATTTTGATATTATTTGGTTTTATAATATTTGATTTCTGTAAAACACATTTATAGTTGTTCGACAGTGTTTTTGCCCTCGATTTTAAAATTATATAATTTTTTTTTAATATCCTATAAAATTTAATTACTCAAATTATTGTTATTGGTCTTTGAGATTTAAATTAGTTTTATCATTTTAATTATTTAGACTGGATTTATTAATTATTTATACTTAATTCAACTAGACTTATAATTTATTTAAAAGTAAAAAAAAAAAACATTCATTCCAGTTTCAAGTTTTCACTTCTGTCGGGAGTCCCACGACAGATTTTTTTTAATATTTATTTTTACTTCAGACATGTGCGTTATACTTTTCGTTCGATCATTGGCGACCGAAACTAGATTCAGAGAAATAAAACTAATATAATTCCATACATTGGATATTGCAAAGTTACAGCGGATAAAGTTGAGGCGTGTATTAATAATTTATTAGCTACTGGATACGATAGGTATGCTTTTATGATACATTGACAATTCATCGCGGTGTTCTCACGCCACGCAAATGTTTTATGCATACATTTTGGTATTAACATACGATTACTAATAATTGATAATTGTTACGTATATGCGTAATTCTATACAAACACCAGTCTTTTGACGCTTAAGGGGTAGGCAGAGTTTTCACTAAGTTTACGAGTCGAAAACGTGGAACTACATAAAGAGAGCTTTGACGGTGTACATACGGACGGGGTATGATTTTTTTTTTATGTGAGAAGGTGGGAAGCAAACTTTCAAGGTTCACCTGATCTTAAATAATAGTAGCCGCCCATGGACATTTGCAACACTAGGGTGCGATTTTGAACGCTATTTTATGGGTTCGATTCCCGTGCGAGAAAGTTATGTGCTCTATAAATAGTGTTCGATTATGTTTGTGTGAATAAAAATAAGCTATACAAATGCAAAAGTCATAATTACATCAGACATGACTGTTTTCTTGAAAATCATGTCTCGTAGGCACAAATCAAATCAAAATCAAACATATATTTATTCACATAAATGCTTGCGCGTTCTTATGAAACGTCAACATTTTACATAAAAATTAATACGTTCGTGAGTAAGGTATTAGGTACCACCGGTTCGGAAAGCAGTTTTTGTTGAAAAGAAACCGGCAAGAAACTCGACAGTTGCTCTTTTTTTTAAAACGATTAGTAATATAATAGGATAGGTATAAATCTTACTTTAGCCTCCGTGAGTATCAACAGTATTAACCCCACACCTTGGCGTCGTCAAGATATTCCGCAATGGTATAATACGCCTTAGCCATAAGTTCACTTTTAAATTTTGCGTTTAAATTGATCTATACTCGAATTAGGGCCGATAGTGTTTAGAATTAAGCGAATATAATCAGTCTAAAAGGCATCCATCCGTCCAGAACATGAGCCGAAAGTTGGTACCTGTGCGAGAACAGCTGCTGGATGGGGGGCCGGCCGGGCCTGCGCAGCACCCGCAGGGCGTGGCCGGGGCTGGAGGGGGCGCAGGGGGCGGAGGGGCGCAGGGGGCGGAGGGGGAGGAGCTGCCCCCCAGCTCGCCGAAGAGCCACACCAGCACCGAGCTCAGCTGGCGGCAGCAGGACAGGCCCTGCGCACACCGACGAATTATTGGCACGGAACCTATGGGAGTCAGAGACCTTTGGCAGTTTACTTCATTGCAAGTTATTCCCATAACCGACGACGTTTCTGCATTAGCAGTTCGCTTCACGGATACCTCACTCCGTAGAGCGTACAAAATGACTATAATATTATAAACGGTGCTTACCTGACAAAAAAACTGGAGAGAAAGTAACATGAAAGAGGACACGTAGTTCGATTTTTGATTAAATTGCCTAACTAAAATCTATTCATCTATCCATTCATGTATCTGAGAAATAAATGTATTTAAAATATATTTTATGAATATAATCTAACGTTATAGTAATATTTTTATTCGTAACCCCCCCAACCCCTTGCTAGACCGGTGGCTGTATCTGTAGCATAGTACAGGACATTGAAGACTACAATCAAACACAGTCAATACAAAACACAATTATGTACACTTTTTTCCTTATTGATTTTCGATAAAAAAAAGGTGCTAGATTCGATTCCCGGACGCGCTGACGTTTGTAGGTGCTGTTTGACGCAGACTTACTATACATTTCATTCATCATATATTATACAAAAATGTATAGGGAGTTATAGTTGGAAACAAAAGAAAAAATATTCATAACCTGTTAATAACCGATAGGCGAGTCTGAAGTCAAGGTTACAGCTTTGATCTGGCCCATTCTTAGGCGTCATAATCATAACCGGTCATAATCATATGAAAAGCGCTAATTCTAATTTTAGAATTGAAGAGGTGTTCTTTTAGCACACTATGCTAATTACAAATCAATTTATTTCTTACCAAACCAAATGACCTACCCATTATTATCCATACTCTACATGGGAAGCACCACACCCTCACGAAAATCGACGTAAAGTGCAAGTGATATACTTTTGAGTTTCTTTTAATGGCCGAGGTAGGCCCATTTTTAAAATCAACCCCGTGTGTTCTAAACGTCCATGGGCGGTAGTAATCACTTAACAAAAAGTAAACGTTCGCTTGTCGACTTAAAAAAAATTACGGTGGTAGGGCCACGCGGCAGCCTCGGCTGTTGCACGAATGGGCAGGCTCGTCCGGGTAAGTACCAGTAAGTAGCAGGATAAATAAGAATATCATCTCGACAAAGCGACATCGCATTCCTTTGGCATTAGCAATGTTGCACAACGATTGCACTCGCTGGCATTTAGCGCGACGGAAAATCGTTCGTTTGCAATGCGGTGTACGACAGTTCGTTGAACTTGAGCAAGGCGACTGGTTCTCATCCATAAATGGGTTACCAGAGGCGAATGCACTAAGAGTTTGAAAGCCAGGATGCGATTTACTAACGTATTTTATTTATAATTTAAATTCAAACAATTTTTTTTATGGTTTCTTGCAGTTATGGAAATTAGTTGGATAAAATTACTGATGTGTATCGTCAGGAATATTGTTATTATTCTGAGCATCTGTTTTTATGGTTCCGTAAAGGGTAAAAAAAACATATCACTGTAACTCAACTAGGTTTAGGTTAGACTGTTGAAATTTTCACAGATGATTTATTTCTGTTGCCGATATAGTAACAAATAATAAAAAAACCAAAATAAAAAAAAATTAAGTGCGCGGCCTGACCTGACTTCATTGCAGTTTTTATAGATGGTATTTTTGATGCAGTTTTTATGGTACGGAATCCTTCGTGTGCGAGTCCGACTTGCACTTGGCCGGTATTTTAGCTTATGCCGAAGAGTTAATTTGACTAATCTTAAATTCTGATGATGCTTCTAACAGACGAAGAATGAAATTTATTTATCTACACGCGATAGCTCATTGTCCGGGCGCTCGCTTTCAATTCAATATACTCGAACGACCTGGGTTCGATCCCCGGCGCCGGCACCAATGAGATTGTTAATGTTCAGTGCTGACTTATCACGTTCTCACGATATGCATATTTGCGAAGTAATAACAAAATAATATTTCGAAGACATTTGAAGTCCGCCAATCGGCAATGGAGTCGCGTGGTGCGACTATGCCCGGATACCCTCTGTACAGAAGAGGCCTTTGCCCAGCAGTGGGATACATATAGGCTGTTACTATACTTCAATTTTTACACGTAAGTCGATTTGTCTGTACAAAGTTCACAAGGATTGTTTTCCGAGTAAGATATGAGATGGATAATTGGAAATATATTATCATACGCACATAATCATCAAGACCTGTTCTCATAAATGTAGAAACTTTATTTGTAAGCTCAAACTGCGTAGTGAAATGCTTCTATCATCATCCACCTGCCCCTACCCCACTAGGTGGGGTCGGCACAACATGTGAATCATGTTGTAAGCGGCTTTGGCTACGTTTTTTACGAGCGGTCGCCAACTCAGTCACACAAATACTTGTCCCGTGTGAGAATCGAACCCGCAACAACGACACGTGCTTTAATAATAATTTGATTAAGAGAATAAAGTCTCGTAAGAGGCTACTAAAACCGGATTTTGGGTTCACGGTCCATCAATATGGCGGTCTTTATGAGGCGATTGTCAATGCAATTATTCCGCGGGTCCTATTCCGCACTCAGAGATGTCAAGCGCTTAAATGCCATTAAATCCGCTTCATAGTGGAGACTTAGAAGTCTATGGGTGATAACACTGCTTACGTAAAACTATTGAAATTACGAACGCCAACTTTAGCAAGGCACGGGTCAGGTCGGTGCAAGGGTCGTCTGACCCGCCGTTATACACGCTTCGCACCGAAATGAACCCAAAACGCATTCACTTAAAGCACCAAATCGCTTGTAGCACGCTTTAACTGTCGAGATATGACGCCGACGCGGGGTGGACCCATTAAATGGCAATAAACACGTTTTCTCAGAAACTTCCCTTACAATGAGGGCCGATTTATATCCAGCGATAACGTTTGTAATGAATGACCCCATCACTGCAGTGTGCGAAATTTATTAGCTGAACTAGCTAGCCGTTATTACGTTAGTCTGCCCCCGTGGTCGGTATCTTAGAATAACTAAGAGACCTGGAATAGCTATGAACAATCGTGTCGTCGACTTCGTCGCCATTTCACACGTCACCTTCTTGGCCATTTCTAATAAATAAATTATAAATATTTTAGGACACATTTTTACACAACATTCTCTAGTCCCAAACTAAGCAAAGCTTGTACTATGGGTACTAGAAAACTGATAAACATACATAAACATACTTTTCTTTTGTAAATAAATACATATTATTGATTACGATATCCTACTCTGTGTACTTGCTCAATTAAGATTCGCTCCCACAGCGATGGATTGGTTCTCATCTTATCTCCGCGGGCGTCAGCAGTCCGTCTTTATGGGCCAAGAGTCTTCACAATGGGCTGATATTGAGTCTGGCGTACCACAAGGCGGTATACTCTCCCCCATATTATTCTCGGTCTTTATAAACTCGATCACAACATATATTGATTGTCCATACCATCTGTATGCGGATGACTTGCAACTGTACCTACAGGCTGATATCGGTGACCTCCATAACGCGTTCATCAGACTAAATTTCAACTTGAGTATTATTCACGATTGGTCAACGCAATATGGAATATCTGTTAACCCCAATAAGTGCCAAGCAATGCTCGTTGGAAGCTCTAGAATGCTGTCGAAAATTGATTTCCCTAGTCTGCCTGTTATCTAATACAATAACAAACCTATTCCGTTGTCAAATTCCATAAAAAATCTTGGACTCTTTATGGACAAAATAAATAAATAAAAATATTATACATATATTAACACCCAGACACTAGAAAAATACTATGTTCATCACACAACATTTTTCCAGTAGTGGGGATCAAACCCACAGCCTCTGGCGCAGGAGGCAGGTACACTACCCACAACGCCATTCGGGTCGTCAAAATAATACACAATATACTTGTATTATGTGAAAATGGCCATGCTGCGCTAGAAGGGACAATTATTTAAATAGCCAAAAGCTTCCTGCCCTTGCATAATATGCCGTGGGCACCAACTCCATACGGAACAAACATTTTCACTATCCAAGATTAAGGATCAGGGTTGTAGATACGTTGACAACCATTTAAAAAGTCGCCTGCTTCTGCGAGGCCATGGCACTTGTCCAGATGAGCCTGCCCATTCGTGCAACAGGTGAAGTGGGGGTCTTTTTTAATTAAAAAGGACGATTGATGGATTTTACACACAGTTTAACAGATAATTTTCTGGGTTATGCGAAGCTGTGTCATTCGGAAACTCGGAGCACTGATCAAATTATAGCCTACTGTTGAGTTTGTACATTAATAAATTGAAACAATTTTAATTTTCGTAATAAATGAACAAATTTATCTACTTCGATATGTTCCATCTCGGGCGGTTGAGTTTGTACATTAATAAATTGAAACAATTTTAATTTTCGTAATAAATGAACAAATTTATCTACTTCGATATGTTCCATCTCGAGTGCAAGGACCAGCTGGGGTAATAAACTAAGAATAAAAATGAAAACATCAGAAATGAAAGATCAGGAAAAGTTTTGCACGGCGATAGAGTTGTGGATGAAAGGGGGCGGAGCGGCTACCTCCACTCCGAGCAGGCTGAGCAGGGCGAGGCAGCGCCAGGCCACGCCGGCCAGCAGGTACCGGCGCAGCGTCTCCGCCGGCGGCTGCGCCTGCGCCGCGCTGAAGGCGCTCGCACCGCCGCCGCCCACCCACTTGGCTCCTGCACACCAAACACAGAAGGTCATACTCTTTTTACGTGAGCAAGTGGCAAACGAGCCGGCGGTTCCCCTGTTGCTAAGCGATAACCGCCGCCCGTTGACATTTGCAACACCCGTACGGTTGCAGGTGCTTTGCCACCCTTTAACAAAAAAATTAACAGTGGTAGAGCCACGCAGTCGGCTGTTGCACGAACGGGCAGGCTCGTCCGGGTAAGTACCACGACCTCACAGAAGACCGGCGTAAGGTGGAAGTATGACAAATACGTTCGCGTTTCGTCTGGTGAGTGAGGTAGCTGGAGCCCAATTTTCAAAAGGTTGTAACCCTCAGGTGTGGCAGATGTCCATGGGCGGCGGTATTCACTTAACATCAGGTGAACCGTCTGCTCGTTTGGCAACTTGACACATAAAAAAAAAGAAAGCGGCGCATATAGAGGAAGTCGACATTTAATTTGTAGAAAAAACCTGAATGGAATAAATATATTCGCATCGCAGTGACTCTTCGACTACCAGTTGCTAATTGCGATAAAAAATTACGGATAGCAAAAATTTAATGCAATACAAATTTTAAGTGCCGACTTATCGCGTGTTCGGCGGTGAAGATGCATATATTAAAAAAAAAAAGAATCAATACATTGTATATATTTTTAAGATATTTGAGGTCCGTGTACCGCAGTGGGGTCGCGCGGTAGGTCCCTAAAACCCACCGTATAGAAGAGGCCTTTGGCCAACAGTGGGACGTATACAGGCTGTTACTACAACCCTCTTAAACAGGCAGCGACTGCAACTCCGCGGTCACTGTCGATGCCTGGGCAGCATCACAACCAAGGAGTTACCGCAACCTTCGTGGTCCTCTGCAGCGTGTCCGAGCGCCAGCGGCCGCGGGGCCTGCAGCGGCGCGGGGCCGCGTAGGGGCCGAGGAGCTGACGCGGCGCGAGGGGCGCCGCGTACGCGCGGGCGTTCACCAAGAGGTGACGCGAACTTCGTTGATGTAAGAAATGCGCACAGGAGCTGCGCAGCCCAGGTCTCCCAGCGTCATCAACACGCCGCATTTTCACCGGGCTGGTGGTCAGCACGCAATTTAAAATATCGATGAAACATTGTAACATCGCCACATTTATACAAAGAATGTTTCACTTCGTTGTTGTAAGAAATGCAGCGGTTTACATTTCGTACCGCTGCGGAAATCGAACCCAAGTCTCCCTAAACTACTCAGCTCCCAACGTATATCATCAACATTGGTTTTTCGCATTTTAAACAGTGCTTGGCGCATCCATCGTTATCTCCTTCACAGCACTGATAAATTATTTACTTTTTATCGATTTTTTTTATTTCTGAGCGTTTTCAATCGTTACGCGGTATCAGGAAGAGAGGGAAGAATATATTAAGGTAGGTTAGCTAAATATAAATTAGATATGACATAATAAGAAAAGTTTAAGATTATAAAATTACTAGCGACTCGCCCCGGCTGCGCACGGATGCAATGTATTATACATATAAACCTTCCTCCTGAATGACTCTGTTTAGTAAAAAAAAACCGCATCAAGATATGTTGCGTAGTTGTAAAGATCTGAGCATACATAGGGAGCGACAGACAGCGGGACGACTGTTTCACACTATGTAGTGATGCACAGCAAAGAGACGTTTACATTTCAAGTGACATTTTACCACAGTCACTCACTTGTTTTGCCTTCCCGGAACCCCTGCACTATAACGTAAACTTTATGGTATGGTATTAAAGTTCAAATTGACTTTTAAGTATTATTACGAATCTTTTGTACGGGAATATAGACAAGTGTTGTTTTTAGACTTTTTCAGGCAATTTTTTAAATTTTTCTCTCCGTAAGAACCATCTTCGTACTTCAAGGAATATTATAAAAAAAAGAATTAGCGAAATCGGTCCTGCCGTTCACGCGTGACGCAGTGACCAAGGGAAATAGGGATCCCTTTTTATATATATAGATAATTCGCGGAGAAGACGCAATCGCATTCGAGTCGTACCTATCTATTTTCTCCATAAGCTGGAAGTAAAGACGAGACACTCTTTTGAACGATAGCTATTGTTCGATTCTGTATAAATGTTAATGCTTTTTTATGTGAAAAGGAGGCAAGCGAGTTGGCGTTTTTTGCGTTGATGTAAAGTGATAACTACCGCTCATGGACATTTGCAACACAAGCAGAGATCTGCCACTCTTAATAATATGAGCTCCGGCTACCCCACTCTCCAGACGAAACGCAGAAGTTACTTGCACTTTACGTACTTCTGCGAGGTCGCGGTACTTCCCCCGACGGACCTGCCCATTCGTGCAACAACAAAGCCTGTTGCCTGGCCCTACCATTGGTGGTACCTATATGCTGTCATATAGGCACCGGTACCTCCAGCACTAAACTTATTATAACATGAGCTTAAAACCGGGCACGCAATGACCTTGTCAGAAACTAACTTTTAAATTCCGCAACAAGTTCTAGTCAAATAAGAATCTAAAAATAAATGAATGTATAGTAGACACGAAACGATTTTAATGCATTCAAAATTAAATATCTATATCTATTTTTAGGTTATTTCTACGTCAAGTGCTCTAGCTGATAAATTATTTATGACATTGAAGAGAACAAACTGGAGTAGAGAATATTCTTTTCTTTTGTATAAGCCTGTCAAGTCCAGTTGACTTGTTCTTTTGTCAATCATGATGAAATGATTATTGCAGATATTTAATACTTCTAAACAGGAATGAGACTTGGAATGTGAAAAGTATCAAAACTGGAAGTTTACCAGAAGTTGATGAGCTCCTTGGGTTCCAAGCCATCTTGGAGCCTGATCAGGAACTCCGCCAGGAACAAGTCCAACCACGTCGTTTTCTGTGAAATGTTATCTCGAATTATTTTTCTCATTGCTTTGATCTGGGTGTTTGTTTTCCCAGGAGGGCTGATGTCAGGCGGGTGGAAAAAACCCAGCCAAAACTGCATACATGATTCACATGCTGTGTTGTGGCAGAAGGGTGATGATGGTGATGCTTGACTACCAAACCACCTCATTCGGGCAATTTGAACTTTACCCGAAGCGATAATAGTCGAGTAAGTGAGTTTTCTGGATTTAGATGTATTCAGCATTCGTTTGTTGATTAACCCTTGCATATTTAGTGCGTACTTGACGATTATACATTATATATCACGTCGCTAGACAAAAATATACCCATGCAACTTTCACCGCTCCAGCCAACAATTAATACAATGAGCGGCCATGGGACTCGTGGCCCGAACAGAATCTCGATGGACAGTAGGTGTCATATCTCCTGTAGAACATTGCATAGGGCCGCGCATGTGCTCACGAGGGAATCAAGCACCACCATGGAGGGCTATATTAAGCTCGTAGCTTCTATCTAGCCTAAGTGTTCTCCTTTCTACGTTCGATGAACCTTTAATAGTTTACGGATTGAAAGCGAAAATATCAATTAAATTAAAGAAAGTAAACTGTATATCTGATAACTGCCTAATCCAATTAATATTCAATATAATATAAATATACATTCTAAAACGTGTACCTCATAGGTGCCAGTCTCAGCTTTGAAGAAGTGGTCCCAGAAAATCTTTAAGGAGTCCGGTTCCTCCTCTGTTGCCATATCCGCTGCGGCTCAACCTGAAACGGGAAGTGGAAATAAACCTAAACCTAATACTTGAATATATTTTTTATGTGAGGTGGCAAACGAGCTGGTGGTTCAACTGATGTTAGGTGATAACCGTCGCCAACACCAGTAGGTTTGCAGATGCGTTTCCACCTTATAATAAAGTGGGCCCCGGCTACCTCACTCAACTGACCAAATTATTATGTCACTTCCACCACACGCCGGTCTTCTGCAAGGTCGTAGTACTTACCCGGACGTCCAACAGCCGAAGCTGTTACGTGGCCCTGCCTCAGTTAAAACCGTAATTAGTGAAGACTTTTCCACATTTTTAAATTGTAGAAGAGCCATCGCAGCGATCGCGATGATCAGATTAGACACCCGCGAATGGGATTGTAATTGTGCTTCCCCGAGCGAGCCATCCCATTCTTGGAACAACAGAAGCTGCCACGGGCCCCTAATACAACAGTTGTAAGTTGTGGTTATCAACCCTCATTGTAAATATCGAAAGACCCTGGTGGATTACGAAATGAATATCGCATAAAAGTAAAGTAAAATAACAGCCTATATATGTTCCTTTTTTGTTAAATATCGTAAATATGCAGTTTTCCATAATAATGATGTGATGTTTATTTCACTTTCACCGTTGCGCATGTGGTAAATAAGCGCTTAAAATTAACTATTTCATTGATGCCGGCACCGGGAATCGAACACAGATTGCTCGACTATAATTAAAAAGCAAATAATTAATTAAAAAGCGATCGACGGACGATGAGCTATCACGGCTCAATTCGATTAAATCATAATTAATAAGGTATCAATAAATATTTATCGAACCAAAATATCAGTAGACATCCAAAATATTTCATTTTATTATAGCCTATTTGTTTATGTATGAGTATCAAACTACTAGTTTAAACCTCGATGTTCCCCGAGTAATTTATGAATACACGAATTAAACAATTTATATTGAAATGTATTATGTAAATTATATACACTTACTTAGGGATGTGCTATTTTTATGAATGGATAAAATAATAATAGTATTCTTTATCTTATTGTTAAATTAAATGTACACGAGCAATTCTTGTATATATATATATATATATAATCGGAATCTCGGAAACGGCTCGATCGACGAAAAAAGTCTATTAGCTAGGTTTCATTTTTAGAAAATGTCCTTTTATCCCTGTTTGCAGTGAATGAAAAATAACATTCGAATATGACGGTAAATTTCGCCGCAAAAAAAAAGCGGGCGGCCTCAAAGCAGGCGGCCGCGGTTCGTATCACGATCATTTACACACTTATTTTTTTTACTTTTTTTCTACCAGATCATTTTCTTTATTTATAATATTTTTTATTTCCAAAATACATGATTTACCCAAAAAAACCGGTCCTCCAGGTACTTGAACATGAAGTGAAAGAGATGTTAAATACCTACAATTAGCGGACAGATTATTTGAGCAATTTCTTCTTGGCGACCTTTGGATAGACCAAATGATATGAAGAAAAAGTAGTTCCACGGTGTGTGGAAACTATATTCATTGAATATAATTAAATTATAATGGATCTCCATCAACATGAATCTTAAATGTCGTAAATCAATAAATCAAAAATTTTAATAGTTATATATAATTATAATGAAATATGCTTATCATTTAAATAGATATTTTAGTTTTTTAACCGTAGACAAATAAGTGTGTAAAGAAACTGGCGTACGATATTTTTGGAAATGGTACGTGTCTCAGCTTGTCTCTTTCAGAGGTAAGCCATCACAGGGACGCACCTTGCACCATGAATGAGTTTCCCAAAAATAGTTATCTGAAGGGATCTTAAATAGTACACATTATATTTGACAATTTCATAGTACCTATTACTACCTGATAATTGATATGTCTATATAAACTGCCCTTTTATTCTCTCGTGCCCCGTGTTCTGAACTAACAATCTATGACCTTATAAACCATTTATTATGCCGAAATTACAAAACTACAAAATTACGTAATTACAACACAATTGTATTAATAACAAATAATTATTGTATCAATAACAAAAGAACACAATTGTGTGCACTATACGTTGACAAAATTTGGTCGCCAGTGTTTGGTTTTTTGTTTTTATGGAAGAAGGAGATAAACATGCTAGTGGGCCACCTGATGGTAAGCGATGACCACCACCCACTTGCAACATTGCAACATTCGCAACACAATTGCCACAATTGCCACGATTGCGTCGCCGGCCTTTGAGGTAGGAGTAAACTTTCTTCTTGAAGGCCCCTAACACGTATCAGTCCAGAAATACTGTTGGCAATTTTATATCGTTGATATGGATAAAATTGTATGAGCATGGAATAACCAAAAAAACTTGAGATGGATGATAATCTATGTTTAGCGCTCAGGTTAAGAAGATGGATTTCTATGATGATTTGGAAAGTTACTATTTTCTTTTTTAACAGTAGAGGTTGTAAACGATTAATCGGCAATCCTGATAGGAAACTGTCTCCAACTCTCACTGCCATTTTTAGATCCTAGTTTTATACCTAGTGTGTACAAAACATCGATAAAACTATAAAGGATTTTTTACAATAACATGAGTTAGAAAAAAATAAGTGATCGTAAAGGCCAAAAATAGGTTCACAATGAAATATTGGCTGGTTTTAGATTAAATTAAATTTAAATGAGAACATATCTGAGCGATAAAGGTGACATTAACGTTTCAGGGACGATTAGAATAATAGCAACATAAAGGCCATTCTTTGTGCGTTGTTTCTTTGAAAGCATTCGATGGCTCTATTTTTAAATAACTATTAAGCGATTTTAGTCCAAAGTTTAATAGCCATGTTTACATTGAATAAAATTTCGAATATTGGATGTTGTCTACATTATATGAAAATTTGTTATTAAAGGTCATTAAAATATGTGAAATAATTGGATTACGAACAATTGCAATTTTAAAATAAACAGTCAACAGATGAAGAAATATGTTGTAACACTTTTAGTGTTTTATACGTTAAAAAGCTAGACATAAAACAACTGTTTTTTTTAACTATGAAAATGACAATGCATAATGAATAAGTGATAAGTCATTTAATAAGTGATTATGAAAATTTATTGACAAACAATATTGATATTCTATTACAATTATTCAATTATACATTTAACGCTATAACGAACGAAGGTTACGATTCATCTAGAAGTTACCGCGATAATCCGACGCTGCCAATTAACATTTTGCGCGCGAAAACTTTACATTCCAGGCTATTGACCTTTCTTACAGTTTTACTTTTAAGCAAATGGATATCTTATTTTTAACTTAAATATGAAAAACCAATAAAAAAAGAAATTGTTTACACGACAGCACAGACCAACAAAAAACTTGTAACACATAAAAATCTGTACATTACGCATTCGTTTGAAAAGAACAACAATAACGTGCCATTACCTCGCGACGCGAAAATCTCTCTCTACAAATAACATATTTCAATGGATTTTGAAAGGGATTTTTTCCTTTGCTATTGGAAATTATTAAAATTTAGGGCGACCAGAAGAGGTTCGAATCCCGCAGCGCGAAAAAAATTTAGCAATTTATCTAATAAACTGACATTAAAAATTTATCTTAAAAATAAAAAAATATAAGTATATAAGAATAAAACTATTATATCGTGATCAAAACTTGTGCAAGGACAATTCAATTGGAACTATTTGCGTAGACATAACAAACAGCTAGTCCCCAAGGTATTGCGTCCTTCCGGTCGTTTCGAGCAGCGATTTAAGCAGATTACAGATACTGTATTTACATTTACGATTACAATTTACATATAACGATTACAGATACATTAGTGACAAGTAATACGACTTCAAAAAGGGAGGAAGTTCCCACTTCGGATGTATTTTTTGTTTGTCAGAACTCCTTCATTTATGAACCGATTTAAAAAAATTATTCTTGCTGAACTCAATCGGTTTAGCTCCCATGTGTCTCATATATTTGTATTCGACGTTGGGATTGACATACAACTGGGAACTCCTCAATGACATAGAAATTGTATAGTATGTGAGATATTTGGAGTCGGTGTTGTTTTTCATTGGTAATATTCTAAATTTACATAATATTTACAAAATTATAGCTATACCGGGATTTTCGTATCGTATCTGATTTATAAGCCGTATCGCCATTAGTTCATTAATAAAAAAAATTATGATCAATCTTTTAACACAATAACCGGATGCTGAAATCAAATAAAGCGTGGTAAAATAAGATTTTATTACATCATGCAATTGATGGCTAGTAAAAAGATATAATTTGTTCTCAATATATATATCATCTATTTGCTATATTCATCATCTATCAACTGATTGCTCCCCTAACTTTAACAGTTTCAGATGAATATCATGTGTGTCACAAGCGGTAGCTAGCTGGTGCTGTCAATTGCCATAGAACATTCCAAGCAAAACCACTCCAAAACTTCCTTCGGTGCAGGTCACTGAACTCCGTTTTTGTGCGAACATACGCGTCGACCAATTGCGCACGTTATAGACTTACTTTCCGAGGTTTTACAGATACATCGACATTACGCAGGCCGGCAGCGAAATCAAAACAACGGTGCGTAACGTACACACGCTCACATCCGTCACCAGAACTGAATAAATCACTCAAATGAAACCGACTTTATAACACGCACGCTGAATGGCTGATAGCGCGCCGTGGGCACCCTACGTCCCGGTCGCGAAGAAACTGGCTCCAAGAAACCTTATCTGCGCGGCCGTTATAATTATTATCACGTAGTTTATCCCCCGAACGCGCCCGCCACAGTTAACATGTGGAACAGCCACTGGCGTTACAATATTGAGTACGGTCCTTACATAACTCGTTTTTTTTTATAAGGTACTGCCGGAGTAGTTAAACGCATCAGGTCAGTAAAAGCCTGTTAACTATTGCTTCGAAGGCACGTTATATTCGGACGGAAAGACAGACGCCGGCAAATTGTATCAACGACAAAGAAA